AGAACAGGAAGTGTGTCGGACAATAATCGAACAGAATTTACACCTGCCGGATGGACATTTAGTATATGGGGTCTAATTTATTTTTGGCAAGCTGCCTGGCTATTATATGCCATTAGTCGTATTCCACGTAAATCCAATGTCGACTATTTATATAAATATCCAAATACTTTACATTACACCGTATTTATTTTCTATATTATCAACATGGCTCTGAATTGTATTTGGCTTGTGCTATTTGATCGAGTGGAATTTGGCGTAAGTGTTACATATCCTCGCAAACACCTCTGTAATAAGTTAATTCGTGCTTTTTTTTCAAAGTGGGCATTACTAGTGATATTTCTGATGTTTGTTACTGTTGCAACTCCAATGATAATTACTCACATTTTACTATCAAAAAATCGGAACATTTATATTGAATCTAGCCGGTAAGTTGGTTTTTCAAATTGATAAAACAAACCATCTAATCTTATATGATAATTTATTGCGATTTAGGAAATTAGATATTTGGTTGGTACGTTTGTTAGTTCATAATGGTTTAGCTATTTACGTGACCTGGTTGTTTTTGGCAATGAATTTAAATTTAACGATTTGGATCAAAGTTATGGGAAAAAATGCTACAGATGCAGCAACAGCAGCGTTGAGTATTGTGCTCTTGGGTATTATTATTTATTTTGTATGTGAAAACATTATATTTTATAAATCAATGGCATACACATGGATACCATGGTTCGTATTAATATTCGCATTATCTGGAGTCATGTCTCTCAATTATACATCAATTCCAACACGAAACCAGTCTTATGTACTAGCACTATTAATTATGTGTTGTATTCTATTTGTTATTCGCGTCATTGTATTTGCTGTTCGATATTTCAAAGGATTGATACCAACTTTTAGTAATCCCTAAAATATGGATATTTGTCCAGACAAAGCGTATCAAAATGATCAAAAAGCACTCACATCGACGACAGATAATTTCAGATAAAAGTGATTCAGTGACATTAATTAAATATCAATTATGAATATCGAACAAACTATAGATGACAAAGTCCTTTAATTCGCATAGCTGAACAACGCTTTATTGAACACTAACTTTCTGTAGAAATCGTCCATTATGACACATTTTTCTTCCTCTCTTGTTTCTTTTTCGCAAGTTTGTAAGCATTTTTCTTTGTTTACCGTTCTTGTGAAAATCATTATCATAATCGCAGCCAGAGCTGGAACCAGTCCAGTGAACCGGTACTGGACCGGCTGAAACTTTTGAAACATCTGCTCTTTTTACCCTGTTTTTCGTCAAAAAACTAAAATTTTACGTCTTTTTCAGTCAAAATAAATAAGATGATAATCAAGATATATTATTTTCATCACTTGTTTTAAGGTTAAATGTTATAGACTCGTTATAGTGAAGGTTCTCTCACATGTCACAAACTATTTCATTTCTGGAGGAAATTATTTCTGAAAATCGATTTTCAAAAAAACTTCACCAGTTTTCCACCGGTTCCAAAACCAGTTTTTACCGGTTTTTCACCGGTTTCAGTTGTGATTCCAACCGACCAGCGATGATTGCAGCCATATCATATCCTATACTTCACAAGTTCGAAAATCTTTGTTACCAAAGCTTTTTATGAAAAAAATTCTTATATAAAACTGATCAGAATTTCAAACTCATTTGTGTCATTTCTGTATCCTTTCCCATGTGCTTAGACATACACTAATTCCAAACAAGCACTTATAAAGATCACTATTTTTCACTATTAAGAGTCTCCAATTCCAACCAAGTTTTGCTATAAAAAAAATTCAGTTTCATCTCCTTTATCTGTTTGTTGAAACTGTTAAATAAGCCGAAAAAAACGTTAGAATTGGTAAGAATTGGCGGAATTTGCAAAAAAATAGAAGTTTTAACCAATTCTAACGGTGTTCTTAGCTGATTTAACAGTTTCAGTTCCACAAACAGATAGAGAAGATGAAACTGGATTTTTCTTGTAGTAAAACTTGGTTGCCATTGGAGACTCTTAATAGTGAAAAATAGTGATCTTTATAAATGCTTGTTTGGAATTGGTGTATGGTTGCATGTACTATGCCTTTCAGTAGAACACTTCCGAAAACACGATATATTCTTTTTCTAACTTTGTAGCTAATTATTATGCAAGACAAAGTTCATTTTGACCTACATACCTTCCAAAAAGTTTCTGCTCAACATTCTTTTGAAGAATTTTTTGTTTCTTCAACCCAAGCAAAAAATAACTTTTTGAAACTAGTTCAACCTACCTAACAAATGAGAATTCAGAAAATAGACACATACTCATTTTACTATGCGTCTTCATCACGTGATGCTCTCGTCAGTATTATCCATCAGTATCAAAGTGCAAACAGTATGCGCTTGCTATCTGAAATGAATAAGATAGTTATCTTATTAATTTACATGTTACATAGTAGAACTTGACAATAGAACACATAAATGTTGAGCATAGAAACTGTTTGAAAGGCAGATAGGTCAAAATGAACTTTGTCTTGCATAATCAAATGCATATTTGACTTACATAACGTTGTTCCATGTATTTTTGTTTGTCCTCAATCTAGGGTTTTCTCTCTTCTTTTCTTTTCTTTTCTGTTTCTTTTTCTTTCGTATATGACACCCGTTACATCACCACAATAATGAAAGCAAACATATTCAACACGCGTTACAAACACATCAGATATTGTCTCATTCATCCGCAGACGAATCCTCGACTGTCAACAGGACAGATGCGCAGGCATGTCCTTGCCAACTTAGTGACTAAATAACAGCAAAAGTATTCCAATGTGCCTCGAACCATGATGTTTCAGAAATAGAAGATGTTAATGTTGAATGAATGGATTTCGTTTCATCTAATAAACATTCAATAACACTCTCTTCCAACTTTCAGTGATCAAGCATACTCTCATGTAAAAGAAGAAGAGAAAATCATTGTCATTGAAAGGTTGTTTGCCATCGATTCGAGCTTAGCATTTATGTACAGGTGCAAGTTAATAGTAAGTTAAATATCAATAAAAATGATGAATAAAGATTCGGAAATATTGATAAAAACAATAAAACTATATACAAATGTGTCAGGTCCTCTGGTTAATAACCGCCAATGTTGTTGTTACTTATTTATAACAGAGTTCGATCAGTTTCTTCAGCCAAATCAATTTTATCACGGCGTTGTTTCAACTTCAATTTTAGCGTCTTACTAAAAGCATCTTCTGAAAATGAAAAATCATCTAAAGAAATGGAAAAAAATAAAGATAGACATGTACTAGACGAGAAGAGTGTGAAAATAATAACTACCATCAGCATCATTACTTGTACTTGATGCTTTCAGACTCGATTGTAATGAACCTAAGCCCGTGTCTGATATTAGACGACGACGATCTTGAGAAAGATGGCCAGTTGAACTACCTTGAAACTAAACAGTAAAGGATCAGACATAGCGAATGCTGTATCATATATTTATGCTTAGCTTTGGAACAATAACATACTCCAGATATTTTCTTTTGGTTTGATATTAGTGTATACAATCTTGCAGCATCTTTTCGATTTATTAATTTCTCCAAGTTCTTTTTTGATATGTTAAAAAGCGCAGAACCATCGAAACCATATAACTTGTGCATAACACTAGAAATTAAAATAACTTCATATTTTGAATACAATGATTAAGATAAAAGATTATACTTTTCAGACAAGTTTTTTATTCTCAACCATCTCTGTACATCTTCACCGGTTGAGTATTGGTTTAAATAGACGTTCGAATTTTCGGTTCGATCATTTATTCGTTGCAGTAATTCTTCATGTAATTCATCAATGGCATGTGAATTTGCTGAACAAAAAGAGGTGAAGTAAAACACAACATATTTTGTAAGTCGCTATTTACATGTTACAGTTCGACTTTCATTTTGCCATGTGCCGCCACCATTATATGATAGTGTCGGTGTTGGTGGGTGTATGAGAAAATTCGATGAAAATGCTGGTGGTTCAGGTGGATGTCCATAATGATTATTATTCATATTGACCGGCGTTAATGGACTGTTATTTGATTGCATAACAAAATCACTGTACGATGGTGAATGATGAAGATACTGAAAATATTTTGATCCATCCTCTTTATCATTTATATAAGATTGACTATTGTTTAACCAATTGATTGAATAAAAGTCATTGATACTTTCTGAACGAGTTGATGTCGGAGTTTGATTTTGAGTAAATAACGGTGATTGGATAGCAAAAGCTGAACAAAAAATAGTTTCATTACTACCTGATGGCTCGCCCTCATAAATTTTTTAACACTCATCTGAGCCAAAAATTGTATAAATACACCAAATGCATGGACAAAAGGAGCACTATCGAGATCGATGTGTACATACAACAAAGAGTTTAACTCATTCCAACTACTTTTCTCAAACGAACAGATGAGGTGAACTGCGTTATCTAGTAGATATTTATGAGTAATGTCTATTGATCGTCTCGCTTGTCCTTGAACGTCAATGCATCATTGTACTTATCAGATGCAAAATTGTTTTTGATAATTAGGCATTTCAAAATATAATAGTATCTCTTCTCTTTTTCTTTTTTTTTGTTTAATTTTTTTTTTAAATAGAATATTGTTTAATTTTAACGTAAAATAGAGAACAAACTACTTATAGAATATAATTTCTAGACATGTCAGTGTGACATAGATATTAAAGCATAAGTGAAGAAAAGTGTTTAACTTTTATTTGCATCGTGCTCGATCTCATGATGTGCTAATGTGGACTATTGGTTATGAAATGACTACCGGAGAGAAAAAGAGCATGTTGAGTATTATAATGTTAACGTGCGAGAAGGTATGTTTAAAATGTGCAAAGCAAACGTTTCATCTATATCCTTCTGAACGTGTGCGATCTGATATTAAATTTCTCTTTGTAACATTTATTTTGAACAACAGAAAAGGAAATAACACACGGGAAAAAAACATCTGCTCGCAATGTAAGTTAAATAAGTATGTATATAATTCTAATTATATTTTTTCGACACAGATTCATATTTAAATAGTACAGACAAATAATTCGAGAAAAAAAATAACAACAGAAATTCAAAAAGATTTCTTAAATAAAAAAAAAAAATAATTCAACAAACATTTTATAAATTCATATACAAAATGAGAGAGAATAACAAACCCGTTAAGAAATCATGTCGAACAACAATAAAAAAAGAACATTCTAAGAAGCTTCCCAAAAGTCTCTACAAAAAAAACATGCATGTGTGTGTGTGTGTGTCCGTGTGTGTATGTATGTATGTGCCAATTTTAAAAAATTAATGAAACATTTAACATCGAACTCCATCATGATCGCACACGTTCTCTTGTCTAATAGATCCACCTTGTCGTGCAAGAATAACGTTAACAATCAATCAACATAACAGTAACACACACACCACACACTCAAGCACATGTATCAAGGTTACTATTTAAGACGTAACATGAAGCTTCTTATCTTTAATAAGGAGAAGAGATTTAAAAAATCTTTGATTGATCCTTACACAGATTCATGCACGCCTATTATGTATATGTACAGAACAAATGAGTGAAAGAGAAATAGAAAAAACATTGCATATTTGTGTTGAAAAAAAGAAATTTTATTCAACTTTGATAGAAAAAAAAAGAGAAAAACTGTTTAAGTACTGGAACAAAGAGAAAAGAAAAACTGAAATGATTTCGAATCCATCATCTAACGCTTGATTTACATATACTGTTCTAAGGATGAGAACAATTGCTATAACACAAATTAAGTAAACTGTATGGATATTTTTTTTTTACTAGCATAAAACACTGTTTTTTTTTTTTCTTTGACAGTAGGATGTGTCCTGTACAAAGGAGTTCAGTATCTGTGTATGGAACATAAAGGAAATAACATGCAATAGAATTATTGTTAATTAGTCAGAAAATGTAAAAACAAAATGGGTCTTATCTGAAGAAGCAAAAGATCAAAGAGTTAACAATAAATAAAAAGACAATAAAAAAACGAAAAGCCAACATTTTTTTAATTATTATGCGCACGACTATTTAAATTTGTTAAAGGATGATTTAAATCTGTACCTGGTGATGATAATGAAGTATTATAATTCGATAGCGAAGTTTTCTAAAACGACATAATACAAAACATTGTGTAAAAAGTGACATAATTATCCACCACTTGTTCTTATTTAATAGTAAAAATGTAAACTAAGTATATATGTATTCTTTTCTTCTCTTGTTTCAAGTCTCTATTTTTGACCTTCAATTGTAGATGAAGAGATATTTTTTTGGCAAATCTGTACATGATGTCTTCACATTGAAAATAATACCGACAACTACTGTATTCAAAATGAACTTACTATTGGCCTTTGTTCAATTTCAATTTCTTCTAATAGATTATGTGGTACATGTCCAACTTCCTGTCGAAAATTTTTCACACGCCACCATTTTTTACTATTATCTTCAATTTCAACTAACTCTTCACGTCGTACCGTTAATTCTTTTGAGTTATGACCTTTACGATCCATTTTTACACGACATATTCTATAATAGATATGATGCATACATTGATAATATAAAGATTATTTTCTTTTTGTTTTTTAAATACTTACTGTGCTCCTTGTCTTTTTCTATCAATTGCCCACGCACGTTCTGTACGCAATTGTGAACTATAATGGTCCATAATATTTAATTGAGAATTTGTATTGTTAGTGTTTGTTTGAATACCGTTTCGTTGTTGATCAACTATTGGCGGCTCAAATTTTCTTGTTTGTGGTTGTTGTTGTTGTTGAGATAAATTAACATTCAATAAGTTGGGTGACGGTATTGGTTGAGAAAATGGTAATAATTGACTATTGTCAATATTTGAACGATACGATGAATTTTGTTGAATAATTAATTTTTGAGACGATGCACCATTATTATTATTATTGTTATTATTATTTATTCGATTGAAATAGGCTTGATTAATGTCATTTGATAACGTTGGTTGACGTGTTAAAATAAGATCATTAGCTTGCTGCTAGAACAAACATACACATATTTTAGTTATTTGAAGAAAAGACAATATTTGTGTCATATTTACTCGGTTATCAGGTATATTTGTTGGCCATGCTGATTGTCTTTCATCGAGATAATTAAATGGATGTTGTGTTATTTGACTACGATCTCTTTCAGTACGTGAAGATTGAGGAGCCTGATCAAACGATGAATCTTGAACCCATACAGCACGTCCTTCGAAAAATACTGGACGATAATCAGAAACTTTTTGTGGACTATCTTCACTGAAAATACGAAAAAAAAAATGTTCTAAAATAACTTCTGTTGGAAGTTCATAGGACTAAATAGAAAGATTATTGGCTTCTTACTCAACTTCCTTTTGCATATCATTGGAAAAAAATAAAGCTTTTTTTGAGTTGCCGAACAGTGCTTTCTCGTATTCAGCACACTCGATAACTCTGTAGATTTCCTATTTTTAGCTAGAGGTACTTCCAAAAGTTTAGGAAAAATTTCCAAATATTATTTTTCCACGGGAATTTTTTTGTGCCATTTTGTTTGAAAATTTTTCCGAAACTTTTGGAAGTACCTCTAGCCAAAAATCTTCTGGGTTAATCTTCTGGGTTATTACCTGTGTGCTGAATACGACAAAAGGCACTTTTCAGCAACTCAAAGAAAACTTTATTTTTTTCCCAGTGATATGCCTAATATAGGTGAAATGAATAATTCAAATTTATAAGTACGACTAATAAGATACTAATTTAATTTTTATTCATATTGCGAACATTCCAGGAGAACAAATTACGAACGAAGATACGTGGCTACTGAGAATACTTTTTCTTTTGTTGAATCGTTGTTTTATCTATAACTTATCCGTAACTCTTATTAATGATAGAAACGCAGTAGGAGTACGACAAAAATCTATGGCTAAAGAAAAAGTGCTTGTCCGACATTTTCATCTATTACTCATATAGATTGATTCACCTACAAAGCACACGTCAATTGTATAGAGCATTTTTATGCATGTATCTATTTATATCTGACACTTAGACAGAGGTAACAACAGATGAATGAAGAATATTAGTTAACATACGCTGTTCTGATCCAAGCTGGTCCTAAATTTCTTAATATTTCATGTTCTTTTGATGTTAAACAATTTAATAATAATTCTCTTGCTTCTTTATTCAGTGCTGGACTCCATATATCTTTGGCTACTTGTAATTGTTTAACATGTTTGTTACGTAATGTATATAAAATGAATTGTAATGGCGATAGTAGATAATGTATTAATTCTGGTGCATTTGGATTATGTATGATATGTTTTAATTCTCCCAATAAATTAAAAGAATGTTTAAATTTTTGTAATATATCGATAAAATAACGATCATCGGGAATCTTTTCAATCATTTGCTTGAGACCTGCTATAAAAAATAAACACATTTATCGTTAGAAATTTAGATTTAATGTGCAAAAAGAAACGTGATAACTTCTTACCAATTGATTTTTTATCTTTTCGTCTATCTCTCTCCAATTCTTTTGTATATTCAAATAATGCTTCTAAATATCGTACAAATAATTCGATATCATCAAAACATTTATTTAATTCTTCTGTTAAACGTTTATAATAATCAGCTGTAGCCAAAGTTGTAGTATTAGACGATTTTATTGTGGTCAATAAAACATTTGATTCTTGAGAAGAATTATATTGTGGACCACGTACATAGACATCACCTATAATAAAAATATATTTCAAAATGGAATGAATACAAATCTACAACAGTAAACATAGATTGAATAAATAAATTTTAGTTAAACCTGTATTTGGTGGATAACGTGGTTTTTCTATCGTTGATAACGAATGACGATCGGTAAAAGCTCCGCCACTACTTCCATTATAATCATTTAAACGACGATCAACTGTTGGTGGACCAGATCTGGCACTAAATTACACGAGAAAAAAGATAAATAATTAATGACTTATTCTAAAAGGAAACAAGTTTGATTTACCTTTTTGGATGTTTTAATGGTTTTCCAGACGCATTTCTGATACTATCAACCAAAGTTCTAGCCTAAGAATAAATGTATACGCATATGTTAAAAGAGTCTTATGTCATGTTCTGTTTCTACTTACTTCATTATTATTACATTTGAAGACAACAACAGTCGATTGAGGATTATTTGATCCATCTGTCTGTCTGAACATAAATATGTCATTTAGTGTGTCGGGTACATCAGCATGTACACATGCTGGATCAACATTCTCTACAGGAATTTGTTCAGCAATAATCTATAAATCATGAAATAAAATGTATAACAACAAATTCATATAGTCGTATCGAAAACTAAGTCAATTCGGTTGGATAATAGGAAGATCTACTTTCAATATTCACTTACATTGTTTAATTTATCATAAATCAATAAATATCGATCGGTTATGTATAATGAACAGGGTTTATTCATAAAACTTTGTGTTTGTTCCTTCTGACGTAGTTTTGTAACAATTTCAGCGGAATAAAACGTATCTAAATTAAAAATAAGAGTAAAATAAATTCACTTTTCTCCATTTTCATTAATTTGTTTCCATACTTCTTTTATCATCTGTGCGAGCAAAAACAGCCAACAACTGGGCATCAATGCGCAATGCATGTGATAAATCATGATTGTGAATATTTGGTATCGTTGTTGATAATAATGAGGAACCGGCTCGATCTAAACAAAAAATAAGTAACAACTAATTCTAAGAAAACCAAAAAACCACCATGTTTTGCTTCACAAACAATACAAAAAAACCACATTCGTTTTCAGTGAAGAAATAGTAAATATAAACTTATTATTAAAAATTTTCGAAATATGTGTCAAGAATAAACCGTACGTCAAAAGAGGAAGTTATTATGAAATATTTACTCTAATTAAATTAAATATCATTCCGAAAAAAAAGGCAATTTAGCATCTTTTTTGTTGATAGCGAAACAAAAGAGAGAGAGAGAAAGAGAAAGACATTTCACGATAAAAAAAAGACCTTATCGATAAACTAGATCTTCCATTTCAAGTCAAACGACGACCTAATGTTCACTTTTCATGTTTCAACTGAAAGAAACCACCATGAATCAGACAAAAAAAGCATTTCTTACCGATACGTTGTTGACTAAACTTATAATTATTAAAACCATTGTTAGTCGTGTTTGTTGATAAATGACGATTATCTGACCATTCAAATGAAGTCATTTTTGTTTTCGTTATTATTTTAATTATGTAAAAAGAATAGATTTATGTATGTGTACATATATTTCTTTAAAAATTTTAAAAATTATTTTTAACTTTTTATTTACCACCCCACAACTTATATTTGCACGTTATTCAAAAGTAAAGAAAAAAAGAATTCAAAGTTTATCCAAGAAGAGAAAAAACAACGAAAGAGAATACACATTTTGGAAGAATACACATGCAAATAATATATATCGGGTTTGTACATATATATATATATATATATTATATATATAGCCACTACAACGATGTAAAATAAAAAAATAAAAACGTCTCTTATTGCCTACTTGCCACATACACAAGACGCCTACGTCAGTCTATGATCTTCTTTTTTTTCCAACAATAGATGTTTCTTACACAAGAAATCAGTTTTGTCGAGTGAATGAATCATACCCAAGACTAAAATTTCATAATACTATAATGCTTCATATCTTATGATAAAGATGATCTTAATAGTGATAGTAACTGTAATGTTCGTATGAACTGATTTAGAATCGAACATTTCAAAAAATAATTCAATTTCAATTAGAAGACTCGTACCAATTACTTACATTTTATAATTTAAATGAATGTGGTTATTAAAATGAAATGCTGATAATTTAAAATATTATGATGTTTTACTGTTAAAAAACATGACTATGTCACGAGTTTTGAAGAAGAGATGTACATACACTTGAGGTATCGCGGTATTTACTACTAAAAAGCAGTATTTACTTATTTTTGGTATAAAAACGTGATGGAAAAAAAAAACTAAACTGTACCTTTTATACACTGTGTTTTTCTCTTTTCTTTGTAAAAAAACAAAATAAAGAATAACAGCCCGAAAACTGACACTATATTTTATAAATGTACATAGAGCAAAAGAATTTTCTGAAAGACATACACACACACACACACATATATATAGAAACAGTTATGATCTATAACTTAATATTATATGAAAATTAGCCAAATTTTTACTTTTCTTCACACAGCATGATACATGAGTTCATCAAGAAATAGGGCGGATACTTTGTTAGAAAGAAGAATCAGTATTTTCAATAAATCAACCAATAAAACAAACAGAGTTTTATGGAAAAATCCATCTAATAATAAACAATCATATTAGGTAGAAACATTTTTAAGACAAAAAAAAAAGAAAAGGTCCAAAACTATACTATCATCATCACATTTCATTATTTTTTAATGAAACTGAAAAATTCTTAATTGACTATTTGTCAAAAGCGTGAAGCCATAAACAATAATAACACATAACATGCAGCATAGCAAATAATCTTTTCTCACATTTTAATCAAGCAGTCTTATTTTGACTGTAATTGAACAATCTTCCATAATTTAGTTAATCAGCAAGCAGGCGACCTGAATATCCGTATTACTCACACAGACACACATACACACAATACAACATACAAACACCAAGCACTATGACTATAAAACAATAAACTTATGGATAACTAGCTGCTAAAAAGCCTGTTTCCTATTTACTCACCATTTTTAGCTCACTGAGTGAGTGCTACAATGTTAGATTAAATAAATAACAGATGTGACGTTATTTTCTTTGGACTAATATTTATTTTTATTTTTATGTATAATATTACCTGTTGATCGCCAGGGTTCTAAATGACTATTTGTACTTCGACTGGATAATGGAATATGGTCAAATGTTCCCAAACGGTGTGGACTAAATGAGAGAAAAAAGTATTAAACTAGAGAAAATTTAAATGAGAAGAAAAAATAGATATACCCCTCCGTTAAGTCGTGTCCTCGCCGATAATTATGCATCATTATTGGCTATCTGAAAATAAACTAAATAAATAGTTAAATTTTTTAAGAAGATCATTGATAAAACAGAACAAAAATATATTGTTATACTAAGATTAATCAGATCAGTAATTCAAAGAATATTTGTAAATCATAACAATTTAATTTTAAAAATATGAACTGAAGAAGAATGAAAGAGAAAATATAAGCGCAATTACTTGAAAATAATCGTTTAACACATAACATATTAAATTAATTAATTACATAGACTACGTTTAAAATAGGTAAAAATCGTCATAAATATAGTAAACAATAACCAAAATTCATCATCTCTTCGAAATCTACTAAATGATCTGTTTGAATTTAATATGGCTTCCTTTTACGTCAAATAAGTTTCCTAACTTTTGTACTTCTATGACACGTTCGATTAACAAAATAATATATAGATAACAATTTAACTCGTACATGTTCTTTAGCCTAGTAGAGGATATATATAATATATATACTCAGAGAAAAATGTTTACCTGAAATTTTTAAAATACAGTATTAATTGTTGTTTTTACTCGAATTCAGTACATCTACATCTACACTCACCTTCTAAGCAAATAACGGTATTTTAATTGAATATCTACTTTAAGTGGAAATTACATATTATCGTTTTATCCATTAGTCATTTATTCTTTTATTAATCATACATATTACGTGATACCATGTGAATATGAATAATTCTTCAGTATCCTCTACTATATTATGAAAAATATTTAAAGTTCTTATCCATTTGAATAAAAGAGTGAACAAAAGATGAAAAATTATCGTGTATATGGCTTTTTTCTCTCTTCTATGTACATACATTACAAGTTAATCCCGATTAAATACAAATAGGCGGTAGTAATAGTAATAGTAGTAGTTAAATAAACAAAACAATCTAACCAAATAGTTTCTTGATTCTCTATTATTATATAAATCATTTGGTTAAATCAACAAATTAACTCAAACACATTTCAACCAGTTAGGAATGTTAAGAAAACTGACCTTTATCAATAATCAAACGATATACGTTCATTAGAGTAAAAAACAAAAAAATGAAGAGAAACTGGACATATTTAAAATTTCTAAACTATCGTGTGACTGAATAACTACTGTTTATTATCCATCATAAATATGCTCAATATTTTTGATATCATATTTTGAAAAGATTGCATGACATTGTCCTTATTATGAAATGAATTACATAGCAATAGAAAATTATGCACCTTTAGACCAGTTTTTTACTTGGACAAAAAAGAAAATAGTCTTATCCGCGTGTACACACTCGATTATTAACGATCTAGGCAGAAAATTAATGTAGCAGAAGAGAGAAAGAAGCCAAGAAAAAAAAAAAAAGAAAAAAAATATTAAAATAACAATAAAATAATATTTCAATTGGGTACTTTGTAGAGAGCATCATTAAGGTCAAAAAAACAATTTTGTCGTATACTTTTCGGTTATTTAGATCGTTGGGTCATCTTTTTAAAATAAAACTTTAAAAATTGAAGAAAATCTTTTGAATAAGAAGATTATACACTGATTTATTCATTCATTTGAAAGATGAGAATAGATTTCATTTTAAAACTATAGAGATCGATGACCTACCTATTTATTATCATTGTCTAACAATAATCTTATACTTAAATATAATAGTACAAAACTACAGAGATGTTTTTCGTCATTTTCGTTTTTTTTTTTTACAGCAACATTTTAACAACACGATGCAAACGAATGTAAAAATTGACAATCTAAAATATAAAAAAAGCTTCGAAAAGAAAAAGAACGAAAAGAAAAAAGAAATGTATATGAGCATGTATTAAGATAGAATAAGTGAATTTACAATTGTTTCAATACACATACAACTCTTAATGCTAATCCATTAGTTAGTAATGTCCAAACGATTACTCGAACGAAAAAAAGCGACGACGACGATGAAGACGCCAAAAAGAAAGAAGAAAAAAAAATACAACATAAACAAATAAAATTAAAGAAGAAAAAAATAAAATGAAGAACATGATATAACATCTTTTAAGATTTTATAGTTGTTACAAAAAGGTTTTCTTCTTTCATTTTTTTTCTGATTGTTTAGAAATGAGAAGTAGCTAGCTACTTATTTATGCGAACCAGTATTGTTTCAAACACACAAGTAATGAGAATAAGAATACATCAAATCGATCATAATCTCTAAATACTGAGAAACTTAAAAAAAAGTGAACGATAATTAGAAATTATTCTTATTTTAACTAGGATCAATCTATCGTTATCAACAGGACATTTTAATGTTTTTTTTGAAATAAACAAGGATCGATTTTAAAAAATTTAAAAAAATTTATTTATAGAATATTTTCTCATGAGACTTATTATTAACAAAACGACATATATAAAACTCGATTCAGCGGCATCTATTTTATCAGAAACTAAAAGCTTTTCGAGGAAATATAATAAACAGAAAAAAATCTGTTCTTTATGTTCAATGGCAAAAGTAATGTCCGATTACGATTCAAAATTGAAATTAGTAAAAAACATCTATTTTTGTCTGTTTATTATATTTCCTCGAAAAGCTTTTAGTTTTTTATAAAACAGATGCCGCTGTCTCAATTTCAACTCGTGATCGGACATTATTTTGTCGTTGTACATAAAGAACAAATTTTTTTATTAAAATTAAAAACTACATGAAAAAATGTGTCGTTCGAAAAACTTCATTTCTCCACTCAGAAAAATCATCAGCTAGATCTAAATCCTAAATTCTCATCGCTCTCAAAGACGATTTTTCCTATTTCAAAATGAAAGTTTCTTCATCATCTAAGACATGTTCGATGTCATCTTATAAATTTAAGACAAAACTAATGTCATTCATTTTTCTTGAAATCACACGTACACAAAAAAAGAACAGATGTTATATGGTTCGACAAGGAAATATGTTTTATACGAGAAAAAAAAAACCTTATCATGTGACTACTGCTGTGACTGTACAGTGTTGACAAGTCACACTTTGCACTATTGAGTAATATAATACCTTCCTTTTCGAAGATGATCGCTTATTAGAGATGGGAAAGTTAAGAGTTTTTTAAATCCTAAAAACGTTTGCGACTTAAAATCAGATCAAATTGATTTTTACAGAATAAAATTTTTTTGTTTTTGCCGACATACCTTATTTCAATATTTTTTAGAACAACCACTTGAGCTTACTATAGCAGAAGAAAATAATAAACTATTCAATGAAATTGCACCAAAAGATGTTATAAATAAAGACATACAAACAAAGTTTGTTTTGTAAGAGATTTTTTTCAATAATCTTCGAAAAGCAAGCGTCTATCTCTGAAACAAACACTGTTATTGAATATTCCAATTCCAATTCAACATTATCTATTGTTGAAGAGTATATTTTTGGTAATTGCGCCTCAATATGATCGGTTTGTCACTGTTTAGGATGAAATTTTCAGTTAAAAACTGACGTTAAGAGCGTATAAAACATTGAGAACATACACATTTGAGTTGATTTATAGCCCGAAGTCACAAGTTAAGTCTTCAGATAGAGTGCGGTTGAGTCCAAACAACTTGACTTGCTCATCTCTGCCATCCATCCCTTTTCTAGGTATCAAACTGCAAATCTATTCAGATATCTAGTCTAATGCATGGTTTCTTTCGTCCAACTGCATCAGACCCTCCCTCATACACACTAACTTACTACCAAGTCAGAAGAACCACATTCTGCTTCATAATGCAGCACGTGTAACATGCACGGATGATGTGAACAACATATGTAGCACGCTTGAGGTTATTACATGGGTGCGCAGAACATGGTACTTTTGGAGTCCGCGTTCCATTGACTTATAAACAGAACAGTTAAGCTACAGTGTCTGTAATCTCTTTTGAAACGATCCTATCCCTCTCGTTTGTATAAAACGTATCATATATTTATTAAAATCGAGTTATGCCGACATCTGAATTTGAATATAGTCTATAACATATATATATCAGATCATAGAATATATCTGTGTGACAAGAACTAAACTTGATTTTATGAGTTCAGAGCCGGAGCCGGTGTGCGGATGATAATGTGCGCGTTCGATCCAGGTAAAAATGACACTCTTACGGCAGATAGTTATGTGAGTGTGTGCGCTGATGACACGTTAATATATGCTACCTCAGTCTTGACCTTCTTCTATTAAACGTAACGCTTTCGAAAGAAGATTTTTTTATGTATATATCATGCAGTTATAGAGTATATTTGTACTTCAAAACGATTTTTATTTTCATATTTTTTCTTACTTGAAAGCCTAGGAAATTCAACCGAAAGAAAAAGAAGGAAAGATGAACATCTTTTGGAGCCGGAGCCGGAGTCGGATGTAAAACCTCTAGGAGAGGAGCCAGAGCTGGGGTGGAGTCGGAGCCGGGAGGGATCGGAGCTGCCCAGCTCCGATACTAAACAAATTTTCTAATGTCGACCAGGTATCAAAAGAGATAGATTAAGGCAGGATTGTTACCAGATAAGAAATGGTTCATACAATAGTTCTTGAGAAGTATCAATTAGGAGGAAAGGTGATAATTTTTTGTATTTATTCTTGATAATAAGATTTCATAATGATGTTGGTGTCGGTGATTCACTCTATTTTCTTTATATCACTACAAGGCAGATCTGAGACAGTATTGAAAAGATATCAGAATCAATTTCTATCATTCTCAATCTTCTATCAATATCAATTTTTAGCGAGTTTTGAATGTCTCAGATCTGCGTTGTACTGACATAAAGGAAATAGAGCTGAGTCATCGGACATTGCATGCGAGAATCGAGTTTCTTCGAATCAACTGTATGTTACTCGGACAACCTCAAAGAACTATGGTTGATGAGAAAAATCGAAAAAAATCAAGTGCCTTAAATGTTTGTCCATCACTTTACATTAAAAAAAACTAAAAAAAACATTCAGATAAAAATCTATTAACTTAACACGGAGAGTTGTGGATGAACAAAAAATGAACAAACCACCATCGAGAAA